ACCGCTCTGGTCTCTGACCCTGCCCGTCCTCTGTCCGTCGGGGGTGCTCCTGCCCTTGGCAGTGACGTCCTAGAGGACAGGCAGTACGAGCTGGCTTTCCTTTCCGAGGCTGCTCCCCATCTCTGCTCCATGCTGTTAGTCCCTGAGGGTGACCCAGACGCCTTCGACATCCCGACCCCTCGCACCTACGCTGAGGCCACCTCGGGACCTTGGGCCTCTCAGTGGATAGCTGCCATGGAGCAGGAGATGGCATCTTGGAGATCCACCGGCACTTACGTCGACGCAGTTCCCCCGCCTGGGGTGAACGTAGTCGATGGTCGGTGGCTCTTCAAGGTGAAGCGCCCCCCTGGAGAGCCGCCTGTCTTCAAGGCGCGCTACGTGGCCAGAGGTTTCAGTCAGCGCGAGGGGGTTGACTTCTTCCAGACCTTCGCCCCGACCCCGAAGATGACCACTCTTCGGGCGCTGCTACACGTAGCAGCACAGCGTGACTACGAGCTTCACTCCCTCGACTTCTCTACTGCCTTTCTTCAGGGCAGCCTACACGAGCAGGTCTACCTGCGCCGACCACAGGGCTTCACTGGTACCTTCCCTCCTGGGACCCAGTGGCTTCTCAGGCGCCCGGTCTACGGCCTGCGTCAGGCTCCCCGCGAGTGGCACGACACGCTACGTGCCACGTTAGCAGACCTGCAGTTCTTTCCGTCCTCTGCTGACCCTTCACTGTTTGTGCGTTCCGGCCAGACTCCGTTCTACATCCTTGTCTACGTAGACGACCTGGTCTTCGCTACTCCTGACAGGGACGCACTGGCCTCTGTGAAGGCTGAGCTGCTGAAGAGACACACCTGCACTGACCTTGGAGAGCTGCGTCGCTATCTTGGCCTGCAGATCTCTAGGGACAGAGCAGCACGCACCATCACTCTGACCCAGTCACACTTGGTGCGTCAGGTCCTTCAGAGGTTCGGTCTTCAGTTCTCCTCCGCACAGCCCACACCTCTACCCGTAGACCATGGGCTCTCTGCTCCCGTTCCTGAGGAGCCAGTAGAGCCCAGTGGCCCCTACGCAGAGCTGGTGGGTTGCCTCATGTACCTGATGACTTGCACTCGCCCAGATCTCGCATACCCTCTCAGCATCCTGGCTCGCTTTGTGGCTACAGGCAGACACCGACCTCAGCACTGGTCTGCCGCTAAGAGGGTTTTGCGTTATCTTACTAGTACATCAGGCATGGGGTTAGTGCTAGGAGGACGCAGGCCAGTGGTCCTTACTGGGCACACAGACGCTTCTTGGGCAGACGACGCTGAGACGCTCAGGTCGTCGCAGGGCTACTGTTTCAGCCTTGGTTCGGGTGCTATCTCTTGGAGATCCACTCGCTCGTCGTCTGTGGCTCAGTCTAGCTGTGAGGCTGAGATCTACGCTGGTGCCATGGCGGCACAGGAGCTCCGCTGGCTGACCTTCTTGCTCACAGACTTAGGTGAGCGGCCTAGCTCTGCCCCGGTCCTGTACGCTGACAACAGGGCCATGATACTCCTGTGTCAGGAGCCTCGGCTTGAGGGCAGAGCGAAGCATATCCAGCTGCGGTACTTCCTCCTGCGCGAGCTACAGCAGCGCCGCCAGGCCCGCGTAGTTCACTTGGCCTCAGGTGCCAACACAGCTGATATCTTTACTAAGGCGCTTGCGCCTAAAGATCATCAGCGGCACTGTGTACAGCTTGGTCTTGTTCCTATAGCTGCTCCCCTGTTAGGATCCTGATTGTGTACTCTCTATTATATATGCTTGTCAGACTGGCCTTGTGGCCTTACCTCCAGTGGCTGGACTAGTAGTGCCACCCTGGCTTGCTTCAGTTTTGGTTGTATTCTTGCTGACTGGTCTCCAGACCCCTGCCTCAGTGGTTGGACTAGTAGTGCCGCCCTGAGCTGTTTGCTTCTTGTTTAGTTTCACCCCTTGTCTAGCCTAGGGGGTGTGTCAACTTATACATATTATCTATGTAGAAGTTATAGGCTAGACTGAGGTATGCTTCTAGTGAGTACAACCAACTAGTATTTGTTCTAGGTTTCCACCTCTAGTAATCATTCGTTTCTACGTTAACACTCTCTCCTTAGAGAACTACAGAGCTAGAGAGCTCTATCTGCGTCAGGCACTTCCGCAGAAGCTCCCGTTATAGCAGAAAACTCTGCAAACATGCGCGGGAAGCGGGATGAGAGCAGTACTGTCTCGAAAGAAGCACCGAGACACGCCATAGTCTAAGACAAAGGAGAGGGCCGACGAGGTGGGGCCTGGAGAAGAGTCTCTAACAGGTCCTACGCCTGACGCAGCAGGGAATCCTAGACTGCACACAGCAGTAGCTCCAAGGCTACAAATAGCAGGATAATAAGAACTAGCAACACTAGAAGCATCAGAATACAGAGAATGCAAGGCATGGTCAATCTGAATCATATCCATATCAAATATAGGAACTCCACGACGCAGCCAGGGGGGAACCTGCACCTGCGGGCCGAAGTGACGACAGTAGAGGTCGTCTAGGCGGCGGAAGCAGCGAGCGGCGATGTGCCCCACGCGCCCGCACACCTGGCCCGCCTGTGGGCCAGTCAGCAGCTGATACGTGCAGATTACCGCGCCACCAGAACCACCAACACCCTGACTCACAGAAGAGCCACACGACCCCCAGGGCACCGACACCCCTGGGCCCCAACCCCCACGGCCTCCACCACGACTACCACCCCAGGGCCCGCCTGCCCCCAAGACTGCTGCAGCTGCTGCTGCTGCTGCGGCGGCTGTTGCTGCTGTTGCGGCGGCTGTTGCTGCTGCTGCTGTGCAGTCCCGGACTCCAACTGACCACCCTCTCCGTCCGCACCCTCACCCCCTCCACCCGCTGCTGTCGACCCCCCATGACCCTTGCCCCCTTTGCCCTTGCCCTTGCCGCCAGATGAGCGGCCGGGGGCAGAGGTAGCTGCTGCGGTCTCATCTATAGAGGCGGAGGCAGGGACCGTCACTGGAGAGGGAGCGCTGCCCTGAAAGATAGGGACTGCCGGCGCGCCAGTGGAACCGGCGATAGCGCGGAGGCGGTCCTCGATCTCAGTCAGGGAGGTGGAGAAGAGATCAGTGGTGAGCTCAGAGGGGTGACGAGCGAGGAGCGCGTCGCGGGCAGGGGCTAGGCGGTCAGGGAAGCGGGTGATAAGAAAGTAGATAGTGGCGAAGAGGGGGGGCGGTGCGAGCGCTAGCCGGGCCTCAGTACAGGCCGCATGCCAGCGAGCCTCGAGGGAACGTAGGTGCTCGACTAAGTCTGCTACATTGGTGAACGACGTCAGGTCAGGGTGGAAGAAAGGGAGGAGGAGGCGACCAAGAGTGGCAGACGACGGGGTGGAGTACCTAGCTAGGATAGCCAGCCAGAGGGCGCGGGCTGATGCATCACCCACAAAGTGGGAGTGCTCGTCAACCGGCAGGCACCTGAGCATGGCGACACGAGCAGTGGCGTCGCGAGACGCCCAGATAGAGTAGGCAGTGCGAGCAGCAGCGTGCACAGCCTGCTGCTCAGACGTCGCGTCAGTAGCAAGAGCGCCCGGGCGAGGGACAGTAGGGAGCTCACCAGAGACGTGGGCGTCAAGAGACTCGTCGTCGACGCACTGACTCGTGAGCTGGAGGAGAACTGCCTCCTGCCAGGCGGCGAAACTGACAGCCCGCCCCTCCCCATCCAGGCGCAGAACGAAGACGCCGGGCGACGCCATGCTGGCGGCTGCGGCCGGAGAGACGGTGGCGGCAGAAGCAGGAACAGATGGGGCGGCTGCTACAGGAGCCGGTGGCAGCGAGGGCGGCTAGCTAGCAGCAGGGGGATGATGGCAGCAGGTCAGCAGTGAGCTGGCTAGCGGAGGCGACTGCGTGGGCACGGGCGAGCTGCGGCAGTGGTGGCAGCAGCAACTGCAGTGGCAGTGGCTGCTGGCAGCAGGAGCAGCGGCAGTGTGGGCTGCAGCGGCAGGGGCAGCTGCAGGGGGCAGCGAGGTAGCTGCAAGGGCAGGAGCGGCAGTAGCAGCTGCAAGGGCAGCGGCTGCAGTGGCAGTGGTAGCGGCAGTGGCAGTGGTAGCGGCAGGGGCAGCTGTGGCAGTGGTAGCGGCGGCAGTTCAAGCGGCTGCAGCGGCAGTGGCAACAGCAGCTGCAACAGTGGCCGCTGCAGCGGTGCAAGTGGCTGCAGCGGCAGAGGAAGCGGCAGAGCTGACGCTGGCGGCTAACAGCTGGCGAGCTGGCGCTGGCGGCTAGCAACTGGCGGTTAGCAGCTGGCAAGCTGGCGGCTAGCAGCTGGCGGCTAGCAGCTGGCGAGCTGGCGCTGGCGGCTAGCAGCTGGCGAGCTGGCGCTGGCGAGCTGGCTGGTGCTGGCGAATGCTTGCTGGCGTTGGCAAGCTGGCGTTGGCGGCAAACCGCTGGCAGGGGCTAGCAAGCTAATGCTGGCGAGCTGGCGCTGACGAGCTGGTGCTGGCTAACGCAGGTGAGCTGGCGCTGGCGAGCTGGTGCTGGCTAACGCAGGTGAGCTGGCGCTGGCGAGCTGGCGGGCTGGCTGGCGCTGGCGAGCTGGCGCGGGCTAACGCTGACCGGCGACAGGGACGAGCTACGAACGAGCGGGGTCGGGAGGGGGGGGGATCGGCGACTAACGAAGGCGCCAGTGTGGTGCGGGCTAGCGGTGGCTGGCGCTGGTCGGCACTAGCTGGTGGCGGCTGGCGCTAGCTGATACGAGCTACGTGACGAGCAGGGGAGGGCGGGGAGGGGACGATCTACGAGGCGCGCAACTAGGGGCGAGGCGCGCTAGGCTAGGGTGTGCTAGGGCGGAAGCGTGAGTAGAGGGCGAGACCTTGCTCTAGATGCCATGTTAGAATGTCGAGAGGGAAAAAGTGCGACTAAGGGAGGAAAGGCTGAGGGTTACAAAGGAGGGAATGTACCCTCCAAGAACTGACCTAACTAAGGCTATAACAAATATACTGTACCTAGTATAGACAATTATATTTGTCGACAATAGGTTCATCATGGCGAGACGCGGGGGAAAATACTAGCAGGGAAATTCACACGGAATTGATTACGTAGAAGGATGGGATGATGCCCTGAGCCCTATGCCATGGCCTAGAATGGCAGTTTGTGAGATTGCATCAACGTGCAAAAGAATGCGCACTCAAATTTGCTACTACGGCATGTAGGTAGGTACATTAGCACCTTCTTAGCTAGGAGTGCCAAAACGCAGAGCGGGTCATACATCATGCAGAACAAATCAGATTCTAGCTTGCTTCCTCTTCATCCTCCTCAGCGCCAAACACAGAGGCGAGCTTCTTTGGTGGAGCAACGGGTTTTGACTTCCCAAAAAATCCCTGAAACACAAAATGGTGGTAACAAAATCACAAGACACTGCAACGAGGCAGGGTGCAAAATAGCAAGAACGGAAAAACAACACACAGTACAGTACCTTTTTAGCAGCCCCCGGTTTACTCTTCATCGAGAGCCCAAACTTGAGTGCAGATCGATCTGTGGAGATTGCTGAAGTAGCTGCTGCTGCTGGTTGTGGCGCTGCTGCAGCTGATGCTGCTGCTTCTATGGCTGCTGCTGCTGCTGGTGCTGCTGCTGCTGGTGCTGGTGCTGCTGGTGCCAATCCTGAATTCCCCTGCTGCTGCTTCTGAGCCTCCACACTGCACATCCAGGAAGCAACGGCATGCCATTTTCAAGAGTACTCTTGAAGTTCAAACTTCGAAAGATTCATGATGCAAATGCTGTAGATGGCAGGACAGTGAAGCCAGGCTTCCGACGCCTAAAAAACTCAACAGCAGGAGAATAACGCTAGTTTCTAGACGTCTCGAAACTCAATGGCAGGAGAGAGTGATGCTTACAGCTTGGCGTATCGTGCCATCTCCCTTTCCTCCCTCAGCTGCTCTCTCCGCTGCCTCTCGTCTCGCACCCCCAGCTGCTGCATCTTCTTGGTGTCTTGAAACCGCTGCGCAGAGGACCACACAGAGGAGAAAGGGGAACCTGAGGAGAATGATTTGTCAAGCACATGATAAAATGTACAGAACAGCAGATGTTACAGTGGAGAGAAATCAGCAAAATCGTAAACAAGCAGGCACGCAGGCAGGCATGCAGGCAAGTTTTCCAGAACACCTCAAGAAGCAAACACCTCACCTTTTTGTGGTTGTGGTCGTAGGAGCTGAGGTGCGTCTCCATCTCACTGGCCAGCTTGTACTGCTTATTGCACAGCTCGCACAGAAACACCTTCTGAATCTCCTTCACGTCGGCACGTATCCTCTCCACCCGCTCCGCCTCCTCCTGGGTTTCGCACAGATATGCGATTCGAGATTTGAATCTGACTACTCGCTCAGGATTCTAATCGGACTACTAGCCAGTATCATATCTCCTCCACACCTTTCCTGCTCGCCCTACCTCCACCACAACCCCTGCACATGACCGAATTACATCATTGTCTTACACATATCCCTGTACAAGGGGCTAGCCCATGTCATAAAGCCCCCGTCTCCATACAGATGCCACTGCATGCCCCCATCATCCACCGTTTCCAGGCATCACCCTCATTCAACACTCCGCCTCTCCCCCGGTCTTCCTCACCTCCCTCTTCTTAACCATTCCCTTTGCTTCTCTTACCTCCCTCTTCTTAACCATTCCCTTTGCTTCTCCTACCTCCCTCTTCTTAACCATTCCCTTTGCTTCTCCTACCTCCCTCTTCTTAACCATTCCCTTTGCTTCTCCTACCTCCCTCTTCTTAACCATTCCCTTTGCTTCTCTTACCTCCCTCTTCTTAACCATTCCCTTTGCTTCTCCTACCTCCCTCTTCTTAACCATTCCCTTTGCTTCTCCTACCTCCCTCTTCTTAACCATTCCCTTTGCTTCTCCTACCTCCCTCTTCTTAACCATTCCCTTTGCTTCTCCTACCTCCCTCTTCTTAACCATTCCCTTTGCTTCTCTTACCTCCCTCTTCTTAACCATTCCCTTTGCTTCTCCTACCTCCCTCTTCTTAACCATTCCCTTTGCTTCTCCTACCTCCCTCTTCTTAACCATTCCCTTTGCTTCTCCTACCTCCCTCTTCTTAACCATTCCCTTTGCTTCTCCTACCTCCCTCTTCTTAACCATTCCCTTTGCTTCTCTTACCTCCCTCTTCTTAACCATTCCCTTTGCTTCTCCTACCTCCCTCTTCTTAACCATTCCCTTTGCTTCTCCTACCTCCCTCTTCTTAACCATTCCCTTTGCTTCTCCTACCTCCCTCTTCTTAACCATTCCCTTTGCTTCTCCTACCTCCCTCTTCTTAACCATTCCCTTTGCTTCTCTTACCTCCCTCTTCTTAACCATTCCCTTTGCTTCTCTTACCTCCCTCTTCTTAACCATTCCCTTTGCTTCTCCTACCTCCCTCTTCTTAACCATTCCCTTTGCTTCTCCTACCTCCCTCTTCTTAACCATTCCCTTTGCTTCTCCTACCTCCCTCTTCTTAACCATTCCCTTTGCTTCTCTTACCTCCCTCTTCTTAACCATTCCCTTTGCTTCTCTACCTCCCTCTTCTTAACCATTCCCTTTGCTTCTCCTACCTCCCTCTTCTTAACCATTCCCTTTGCTTCTCTTACCTCCCTCTTCTTAACCATTCCCTTTGCTTCTCTTACCTCCCTCTTCTTAACCATTCCCTTTGCTTCTCTCACCTCCCTCTTCTTAACCATTCCCTTTGCTTCTCTCACCTCCCTCTTCTTAACCATTCCCTTTGCTTCTCTTACCTCCCTCTTCTTAACCATTCCCTTTGCTTCTCTTACCTCCCTCTTCTTAACCATTCCCTTTGCTTCTCTTACCTCCCTCTTCTTAACCATTCCCTTTGCTTCTCTTACCTCCCTCTTCTTAACCATTCCCTTTGCTTCTCCTACCTCCCTCTTCTTAACCATTCCCTTTGCTTCTCCTACCTCCCTCTTCTTAACCATTCCCTTTGCTTCTCTTACCTCCCTCTTCTTAACCATTCCCTTTGCTTCTCTACCTCCCTCTTCTTAACCATTCCCTTTGCTTCTCCTACCTCCCTCTTCTTAACCATTCCCTTTGCTTCTCTTACCTCCCTCTTCTTAACCATTCCCTTTGCTTCTCTCACCTCCCTCTTCTTAACCATTCCCTTTGCTTCTCTCACCTCCCTCTTCTTAACCATTCCCTTTGCTTCTCTTACCTCCCTCTTCTTAACCATTCCCTTTGCTTCTCTTACCTCCCTCTTCTTAACCATTCCCTTTGCTTCTCTTACCTCCCTCTTCTTAACCATTCCCTTTGCTTCTCTTACCTCCCTCTTCTTAACCATTCCCTTTGCTTCTCCTACCTCCCTCTTCTTAACCATTCCCTTTGCTTCTCCTACCTCCCTCTTCTTAACCATTCCCTTTGCTTCTCTTACCTCCCTCTTCTTAACCATTCCCTTTGCTTCTCCTACCTCCCTCTTCTTAACCATTCCCTTTGCTTCTCCTACCTCCCTCTTCTTAACCATTCCCTTTGCTTCTCCTACCTCCCTCTTCTTAACCATTCCCTTTGCTTCTCCTACCTCCCTCCCTCAGTGACACTTCAACCCAATAAGACGTGAGGTGATGATTGCCATGCGCAGCACTTCTCATATCTTCCTGCCCATCAAACACCCTGTCCCCCTCTCTTCTCCCTTCTTCCCCAGAGCCTCTGTCTCTACAACCTCCACCTTCAACTTCACCGAAAACCAGTTCGCATGCCATAATTACACAGAGCCACGTCCCTCCATCGTCCATCTTCCCCACACGTCTCGTTTCTTCACCACCTCCTCCGCCTCCTCCTCCACTGCCTCCAGTTTCAACACAACCCATTGAGCAGACAATATAGCAATAACAGCCATAACCCACGATCCCCATCCCCCCCTTCACCTCTCGTTTCTTCGCCATGTCCTCCGTCTCCTCCACCCACCTCCCGGTTCCATGCAACCCATTCAGAGACCATAAAAGAACACAGACAGAACCAGCCCCCACGTCCCCTCTTCCCTCACCTCTCGTTTCTTCGCCATCTCCTCCGTCTCCTCCACCTCCACCTCCAGCTTCCTCCGCTGCACGTTCTCCTCTGCGGTGTACCACTCCTCCTCCTCCTGCTTCCCCAGCCCTAGTCGTGCATCCCTCATCTCGGTTCGGACTGGGTCCACTATGCCTGGTGGGGTGTATGCCGGTGGGGAGGCAAGGCGGTGGGGTGTGGATACACGAGTTAGCTTCGTTGCACGTTCTCCTCTGCTGGGACTGTGAACCATGGTTCCTCCTCCTGCTTCCCTAGCACCAGCCGTGCACCCCTCATCTCAATTCGGACCGGATCCACAATGCCCTGGTGTATGTGTGGGCCGGTGGGTGGCGAGGGGCGGGAGGGGGGGAGGGAAAGGGGGAGATGGATACATGAGCTGACTTCGCTGCTCGTTCTCCTCTGCTGTGTACCATTCCTCGGCTCCTGCTTCCCTAACCCCAACCGTGCATCTCTCCTTTCCGTACACACAGCGTTCACTATGCCTGGTGTGTGTGTGGAAGGCAGGCATAGAGGGGTCGCTGCTATGAGGCAGGCATAGAGAGGCATGGCGAACACTCCTTCACAGGCCCACTATGCCTCACTATGAGGCCCACTATGCCTCTCTATGAGGCCCACTATGTCTCTCTATGAGGCCCACTATGCCTCTCTATGAGGCCCACTATGCCTCTCTATGAGGCCCACTATGCCTCTCTATGAGGCCCACTATGCCTCTCTATGAGGCCCACTATGCCTCTCTATGAGCCCCACTATGCCTCTCTATGAGCCCCACTATGCCTCTCTATGAGGCCCACTATGCCTCTCTATGAGGCCCACTATGCCTCTCTATGAGGCCCACTATGGCTCTCTATGAGGCCCACTATGCCTCTCTATGAGGCCCACTATGCTTCTCACACATCAGTTGCTTCATCAGGGGCCTCATCAAGGTGCTTCCTCGATTTCCCCGCACCTTGCTTCCATCACCTCCTCTCATGTGTATTGCTCTTACTCCTCTCCCCTTGCTTCCTCGCATCCCTCTCACCTTGCTCGTTCCGCCCCAGCCCCTTCCGCCGCCACCCCATCTTCAGCAAACGTTGCTGCAAGCGACCGGCTTGTCAAGCGACGCCATCTCCAGCCCCTCTCTTTTTTTTTTTCTTTTTTTCTTTTTTTTTTGGGTCCAGCCCCTCATGGTCCAGATTTCTCCAACAGAGCCCTTTTCTGCTGCTTCTCTTTCCACTCAACCTGCTTTCTCTAGTTATCCTCATCTTGCCTTCACCGTTTGCTCGCTTCTTGCTCACTCTCACTCCTCTCACCTTGCTCGTTCCGCCCCAGCCCCTTCCCCCGCCATCCCATCTTCAGCAGCAGCTGGAAGCCCACGTTGCTGCACGCGATCGGCTTGTCAAGCGACGCCATCTCCAGCCCTTCGCGGTCCAGATTCTCCGTGATCCGATGGTCGATCGGCAGCCGGAAATCATCTCCATCGTCCAGAGACTGCCACGTGGCGGACGGAGAGTCGGGGGAAGCAAGGGGAGAGGAGAGTGCTAGTGACAAGGGAAATGGGGAAAGGAGCGAAGGGGAAAGAAGGGGGAGGAGAAATGAATGATCGAAGGAGGAGGAAATCTGGAAGGCGAAGGAAGACGCGACTGAAGACGCGGGACGAGGGAGAGAGGCGAGAAAGGCGTTTGAAGGAAATCTGTTCGCGAATCTCGGCTGACCAGTACGATTGAGGCGGTAGATGATCCCGTCCGCTGTATTATGATGATCGAGTACGAATCCGAAAGGGAGCATCACGCCAATACCGTACCTGCATTTCTGTTATCGCCTTGCAGCCCCAGAACAAGCGACGAACGAGAACACCCCAAATTATAACCCACGAGCTCGTTCCTAAAGTCGAAGGCTTCGCTCCTCAAGGACGACGACGAAGGCAAGAATTAGCGGATGAGGAGTTGACTAACCTTAGATAATCACGGGTATGCTGCTGAGAAATTTGAGAAATGGCGGGAAAATATTGAACCTCCTACAGTAGTTCGATGTTACCGTTGGGGCGAAGCCGCCTTGGCGAAAAAAAACTGCATCTACAGAATTCGCCAAGAGGGTTACAGCTGGTTTGGTGGGCTTGGCTCGGCGAAGGTGATGCTTCGTGCGAAACCCCAAACTATTGGTTAACGAATGAAGCAATCAGATTCAACGAGTTCTTGCAGGCAGCACTGGCCTCGCAGTCTGCACCCCCAACTTCTTTGCTCCCGTCCCGTCCACCCCACACTCCTCACACCTGGGCTGTAAGGTTACCACTTCGTCTGCAACCGAGCGGCTTTAACGAACAGCTGCAACGGGAGACTGGAGAGCAAGTTCAACCCCCAAGCACGTGGTCGCCGAAGCCAATCAGAACTCCCGGTTCCCTAAAAGCCTTCACACAACAGCCTACCCCCCGAGTCCAGGTAATTTGCAGCCCGCCAGGTCCCTTAGTCTTTCAAAATAACCTAGACACCGCAACTTAGAGCCGGATTAGGCTAGTGCAGTTTTTACCCGTAACGAGAAGCCGCATTTCGCCAACTTGACTGGTGCGATCGCAGCCCTGAACCACACGGTCGCTTACCGGAGACTCAGGCCGGCTAGCCGGCAGCGAAAGGCACACTAGACGGTAGCCGGCGGCATAATACTTCTCTATACGAAATAACCAATCGTCGCGGTAGACGATGGCGCGGCAAGTGTCTCGCGATCGGCGAGCATCCGACAAGGACGAAAAGACGCAGGAGGGGAAGGCGTCAGGGTCCGATTCGAAACGGCGGCAAAGAGCGGACGGGCGGCGGTACGAGCAGGAGATCCCCCCTTTGGGGAAGATCGTGGTGGTGTTCCTCGTGACGGCGCTTTTTGCCGCGCTGTGCGTTGCGGTCGTGTATTTCACACAAGACCGCATGGTCAATGCGGGTGAGTCTTGATTGGTCCATCAATGCCCGTGAGTTTCAAGAGCAGTGCTCTTTGAGGCCGATCCGTCCTCCGGCGGGGAAGACCGTGGCTGTGTTTCTCGTGACGGCGCTGGTCGCTGCCGTGTGCATGGTGGTCGTGTACTGCATGCAGGATCGCATGGTGAATGCGGGTGAGTCTCTCTGCTATTTCGTGGTCAAGCTTGGCGCGCCTTGCTTCTCTTGTATGATGAGGCAATGCATGGTGCATGCTAATATGATTCACCTTACCCGTAGCCTTCTTGCTTCTGTTTCTCAAGATTTTTATCGCATGTGACTCGTGGTAAGGACAGGTGTTTGTGGTGGTGAATGGAAATTCATGACAGAATGCAAGGGGTGAAGCAGGGATTGAGAGGAATGAAAGGGAGAGGTAGCAGGATTGTTACAGGGAGGGACAGTGGGAATGGTAGGGAGGGGAAAGGGTAAAGGATTCATAGGCGAGGAAGAGAAGGAGGAGGAGATTGAAGAACTGAGGAATGAAGGAGGAGCTTTAAGAGTGTGGGGGGGTGGGGGGAGGGGAGAGGAGGGGAAGTACAGTGTCGCGAGGCAGAGGAAATGGTGGTGTAAGAGGTTAAGCGGGTAAAGACGGTAATCTTGGGGTCATGGGGTTGGAGGGAGGGTGAGGCGATGGCTTAGCTGAGGAGGGAGGAGAGAAGATGGCCTTGATGCACTGTTTGCTGCTGCCCATTCCCGTTGTGCTTTGTGCTCAACTGTTCTCTGCTTCTCTCCTACTCCCACATTGCAGTGGCGTTACAAGGTTACAATCTGCACATGCTGTACAACAACTACACAGCAGCTGCCAAGAAAGGAATCAATAGAATTCTTGGGCTGCCCATGCCAGAGTGATCGTCATGGCCGTACATTGTATGTCGCACTCCTAACTCTTTAGAATGGTTCATCACGTTTTAGGATGGATATAGTAGCTATGTATGTGTGCAAAGGCTTTCAAATTAGTGTAGGTAGGTGGTAGTCCTTTTACTAATCAGCCCTAATCAGCCTGATTTGTGCTCTCCTTTCAGACACACTTAGGGCAAATTCCTATGGCCTCACGGTGTGAATGCACGTGGATTTGGATTGTTCAGTAGGATGAAGCTGCAGCTATTAGTAAGAGCTGAGGATATGGAGGCTAGGTGTACGAACCACCTTAGGGGATCCTTGTATTTTAAAAATAAATAGCAAGAAGACCGGTGGTTGTTGTCATTCTGAAAAACAAACGTAAGTGTATGAAACACGCATTGGCGCCTCTCGCGAATCTCGCTATGAGATGAACAACTAATTCCGACTTTCACTGACTAACGTGCGACTAATTCGACTGAAACAGCGATAGGTGTATTTCGTCTTAGCGATTCGCTGAGCTGCGCCGCCAGCTCAGCACGCTTTGTGGGCATTACTTGGCAGCCCGACAATCACTTCACCAACTCCCGCTGCTGACGTGGCCGCAATGTCCAATCCGATCATGCCAAGTGCAGCCGCGGGCGCAGGCGGGACCCAGGCTGCTCCAGCCGCTGCAACCGGAGCCGGGGGGGTAATCGGAGGAGCCGCGGGGATAATCGGAGGAGCAGTGGCAGCAGAAATGACTAGAGGCGGAGGACAGGGAGGAGCAGGAAGTTCTATAGTAACGATGGAGGCAGCAGCAGTAACACCAGCAGGAGCAGCAGCAGCAAAAGTAGGTATTTCCCCCGCTGCTGCACCGCGCGAGTCATCTATCCCCGCGCCGCCTAAGGTGCTAGCGGACGCGCTCGATCTCCTCGAGGCGGCGTCGCGGCTTATAACGGAGGTGCGCAGCGGCGTGGACGTGCTTATAGAGGGGGTGGTGACGTCAGCGGAGGCGCGCGGGGAGGGATGGGGAGGGGAGGAGGAGGGGGCGGGAGGAGCGGGGGAGGTGATGGGGGAGGTGGAGAGGAGAATGAGGAGCCACGTGGCACAGCTACAAGGCATTGGTAAGAAGCATAATGTAATGGAAGGAGTGGAAGGGTGATGGGGAGGTGGAGAGGCGGATGAGGAGAAATGTGTCTCAGATTCAGCGGATAGGTGAGGGCTGGGGTGGGGAGGGGTTATGGCAGCATGTAGTGAGAAGTATGGGAATGGCAGGGATACGGTGATGAGGGGGGGAGGTTATGGGGGAGGTGGAGATGCGGATGAGGAGAAATGTGGCTCAGTTTCAGCGTGTAGGTGAGGGCTGGGGGGGGGGGGGTGGTTGGCAGCATATAGTGGGATCAGAAACAGCGGATGGAAGAGGGACGGGTGATGGGTGGAGGTGGAGGAGGATGGATGGGGGGGAGGAATGTGGCACATCTGCAATGCGTTGATGTAACGACAGGGAAATATGGGAATGGCAGGGATGCGGTGATGGGGGAGGGAGGTTATGGGGGAGGGAGGTTCTGGGGGAGGTGGAGAGGCGGATGAGGCGAGATATGACACAGCTGCAATGCGCTGGTAAGGCTTGGGGGTAATGAGCGAGATATTTTGACAGGAGAACATGGGAATGGGAATGGCTGGCGGGGATACAGTGAGAGGGGAAAGAGGTGGTGGGGGAGGTGGAGAGGCGGAGGAGGAGGCGAAGAGGTGCAGCATGGACTGAACACTGTGGCGAGGCTTGGGGTCATTGCCTCGTGCCTTCTGAATCCACTCAGAGGTCCGCTTGGGGTAATCTCCTCGTTCTCCCCTGTTTGTTTCCTGCTCTGGTCTTGCCCGTACCCCTACAGGCAGGCAATTAACGGACCTGGGAGCATGGGAAGCAGACACCACGCCCGCCCCAAAACCTGAAACTGATTCTACCAACCCCCCTGCGGCTGCCGCCGCCACTGCTGGCAGTGGTGCTGCCGCTGGGGACACCAGTACTGTCGCCTCTGGAGCAGCAGCAGGAGCAGGGGCAAGAGGAGGGGGAGGCGAGGGCAAAGGGAAAAAGGAGGGTTTGAATGGTGAATCAAAAAGAGGAGGGGAGGGTGGCAGGATGGATGGTATTTCCAGGAAGGTTCTAGGGGGAGTGAAGATGGCTCCTCTGGTGTGCGGCGATGGCATGTTGGTGAACTATGCGTGGAAGAGGCAGATCGCTGCCCATGCTGCCACCGGTGCGGCCAAGCGAACAGGGTGAGGGAGGGGTGGGTTTGTGTGCATGCATGTGTGCATGTGTGTGTGCGTGTGTGTGTGTGTGTGTGTGTGTGTGTGTGCGTGTGTGTGTGTGTGTGTGTTTCGTTTTTAGTCCCCCACCCAACCCCCTCCACTGCCAGCAGCATTGCTCTCTCTGTGTTTCAGCGCCACAGGGAGTGAATTCCACTCTCTCCCCCTTTTGAGTTGACTCAAAAGTCACCTCGTTTCAGTGCCACAGGCAGTGAATCACTCTCGCTTCCCCCCCTCCCTCGTCTCCCCTACCATCACATGGTGCCCGTTTCGCTGGCTGTATTCCTCCCTTTTCTCCTCATCCTATCCCCATCTTTCTTCTCCTCCCGACAGACACCATCCCCCCTTCCGCTCTCAGCATTGCTCTCTCTGGGCCTCGGCTCCACAGGCATCGCATCTTCCCCTCCCGCGTCCCCTCTACAGTCACACTCGCTGCAGTGTCACACGAGCTAGCAAAACGACCTTAGACTCTCCACTCTCTTCTCCCGATCTCTTTCTGACCTCCCACCCGCTCTCCCAACCCCCCCCTTCCAGCATTGCGCTCTCTGCGTTTCAGCGCCACAGGCAGCGAGTCTTCCCCTCCCTCGCACCCCCTACTGTCACACTTGCTGCAGTGGCGCACCAGCTAGCCAAGCGACCTAGAGTCTCTCCTCCTGCTGCACCCGACGGCACTGGCACTGGTACTACTGCTGCTGCTGCTGGTGCTGCTGCTGGTGCTGCTGCTGCTGGCGCTGCTGGTGCTGCTGGTGTTGGTGCTGGTGCTGCTGGTGCTGCTGATGGTGCCGCTCCTACTGCTGGGATCCAAGATCCGTCCGCTAGTGCTGCTGCTGCTGCTGCTTCTTCTGCTGATGTTGGTGCTGCTGGTGGTGCTGTTTCTAGTGCTGGTGGTGTGAAGGAAGGGGGCGCTGCTGCAGGAGTGGCCGGGGGGGAGGGGGCTGCAGCCAATGGAGTGGGAGGGGAGGAGAAAGCAGCAGAAGCAGGTGCAACTGGGGAAGGCTCATTTGCTGCCACAGATACTGCTGCTGCTGCTGCTGGTGCTGCATCAGGGACAGCAGAAACCACCTCAGCCAACACAGGTGCCTCTGGGGAAGGTGCATCTGCCGCCGCTGCAGATACACCTGCACCTGCTACTGGTCCGGGGGCAGGTCTGGGCCGAGCCACCCCACCAGCAGGTTTGGGGGTGCTGGGGGCGCTAGGTGCAGTGGGTCTGGGTCGGGGGAGGGTCGGGGGGCTGGTTCGTGGGCTGGGGGCGTTTGGGCGGATGTCAGGGGGAATGGGAGGGGGGATGGGCGGAGGCATGGGGGGAATGGGGGGAGGGATGGGGGGAGGGATTGGGGGCGGAAATGCTATGGAGGCGGATGACTTAGGGGGGGGAAATGCAATGGAGGCGGACGACTTAGGCGGGGGAGATGAGATGATGATGCTGGGGGGGGACTTTGGGGGGGAGGAGATGGATGTGGATGGGAAAGGGGGGGGGGACGGGGGAGAGGGAGGGGGTCCGGGAGCAGGGGAGGTGAAGGAAGGGATGGGGCCGAAGCAGGAGGAAGATGGAGGAGGAGGGATGGATGCAGGAGTGGGAGAGGGGGCAAAGGGGGCTCAGGAGGGTAGTGAAAGCAAGGCAAGGGCAGAGGGAACAGAGGGAGGGGGAGCAGGGGGAAAAGGAGGTACTGCTGGTGTGGCTGGTGGTACTGGAGGGGAAGGAGCAGGGCTTGCGAGTGTGAAGAGAGAGTATGGAGCGAGAGAGGGGGACAGTAGTGGTGATGGCGGTGGTGATAGTAAAATGGGTGGCACCAGCGGTACTGGTTCTGGTGCTGATGGTATTAATGCTGACCCGGCAGCAGCAGCAGAGGACCCCACTCCCACACGACTGGGAAATAAGAGGAGACGCGGCGAGGGTGGTTACCGCAATGGTTACATGGATCCGGTGCTGTGCAGAGTGTTACAGCACGTGCAGCAGGCCTGCCCTGCCATGTCCGTCACTCTCCTCTCGCGCTCTTCCTGGCCCAGACACCTCATGGGGCAAACCGGTAGACAGTGGGCTGCTGTGAGTGAAGGGGAGAGGAGGGGAAGAGGAGAGAAGGAGGAGGGGGGAGAGAACAAGGAGAGGAAGCAAGTGAAGCAGGAGCAAGGAGAGCTGAAACCTTCAAAAGCATCCCCGTTAAAAGCATCCTCGTTAAAAGATTGCGCTCCCGTGCAAAGACCGGATTCCGAGGGAGAGGACATGGAGGCCATCTGCCCGCCAGGAGTGGTAGAGGCGAAGGTTCCCGGAGCCTTCCGAGCGGTCATCTCCCTGATGCCAGCTGGCAGCTCGCGAGTGGATGGGGTGGCTGTGTTCGGGACCAATGAGGTGAGTGAGAGGGCTGCTGATTGTGCGCAGCGTGTGCTCAACCCATGCCGTTCCGCCCATGGCCACCTAATTCCGTTCCCTCTATAATCTTGAGATGCCTAAAGTCGTTCACACGAGTGCCATGCACTTGTGAACCTTCTTTCTTCTTCTGTTCTCCCCTGGCAGGTCTGCCCTCACGGGCATGCAGGGGGCAGTTCCACGGTCCCACCACATGTCATGCCAACCATGTTGGTCCCATGTCTGTTAAACCCCGTCTACCTTCCATGTGTCCATCCATGGCAGGTGGGGCCGCACGTGCATGCATGGGGGCAGTCCCACCACACGGCATTCCAGCTGGTTTCTGTAAGTGTGGCCACAACCGAGCCATTCTTGGAGTTGGCGAAGCTGGTGGACCTCCCCGAGAAGATGGTGCCCACACATCCACGCCCACACATCCACGCCCACACATCCACGCCTACACATCCACGCCCACACATCCACGCCCACACATCCACGCCCACGCATCCACGCCCACGCATCCACACCCACGCATCCACGCCCACGCATCCACGCCCACGCATCCACGCCCATGCATCCACGCCCACGCATCCACGCCCATGCATCCACGCCCACGCATCCACGCCCATGCAACCACGCCCACGCATCCACGCCCACGCATCCACGCCCATGCATCCACGCCCACGCATCCACGCCCACGCATCCACGCCCATGCATCCACGCCCACGCATCCACGCCCATGCATCCAGCTCCCTGGTTCTTATATTTTCCCGTTCCATCTTTGTTTCGTGCCGTTTGATTGGATCTTGTAACCTTGTACTCTCTCATTGGCTGACTCGGCGTTCTGAAATCCCCTTTATTCTGAAATCCCCTTTATTCTGAAATCCCCTTTATTCTGAAATCCCCTTTATTCTGAAATCCCCTTTATTCTGAAATCCCCTTTATTCTCTCTTCTCCCACGCCCCTCTCATCAGGCTCAAGCCCGCACTGCCCTGCGTACACTCTCCTGCGCCTCCTCACTCCCCCACCGCACTTCATCCAACCCTCCATCCAGCCCTCCATCCAGCCCTCCATCCAGCCCTCCATCCAGCCCTCCATCCAGCCCTCCAGCCAGCCCTCCATTGGAAGGCCTGCTGGTTAGTTTCCCTTTCTCCTCGTTCGTCTTCTCCTTGTTCGTCTTCTCCTTGTTCGTCTTCTCCTTGTGGAATCAAGGCATTCGCAGCACACTTGTATACGAACCAGGAGTGCAACCCTCCACTGCAAGTATACCGAACCAATTACTTGCAATGATGATTGATTATTCCACCCTCCACTTCCGTATTGCCTCCTTTCAACTGTCGTTCAACAGGAATGGCTGCACTCCTTCCGGAATCTCTTCCAACAACCGTGCAAGTATGGCTTTAAGAGGGTTACTGAGATGTCTTGAAGGCAAATACTGCAGCCATTGCATGTTTTGCATGTTTTTCAGTTTTTTTTTTTTTTTTTTTTTTTTTTTTTGTTATCTGGTCTTCACCTGTTCATTTTCCCAAACCTCATCTCTCCCCCAATACACAGCTCATGCCATCGCATCATCGCTATCCACCATCCCTCACGCCAGCTGCTACCGCCCCTCATTCGCCCGACTGGTGCCAGCCCCCCATTCGTGTGCTTTTGATGCTCATGCTGACGCTGATGGTTCCTAATCCGACTTGTCTCTCCTCTCCTTCCCCACCACCTCCCCACCCCCCTCATCCCTCCCCCCATCCCCCCACCAGCGCATGCCATCGCATCATCGCTCTCCACCATCCCTCCCGCCAGCTCCTACCGCCTGTCATCCGCCCCCTGGCTGCTCTCACCTCTGCTGCTGGCGCTGCACCTGCCGCTGCTGCTGACACTGGCTCTGGTGGTGCTGACAGCATTGGTCCCTCTGCCTCAGCCCCTGAGGGTGGTGGTGGTGGTGGTGCTTCTGGAGCGGGTCTAAAGGAAGGCTCGGTGGAGGATGGAGCAGCTATGGCAGGACAAGAAGAAGGTGAAAGAGTAGTTGCGTGGCACCTGGGATGTGCTATTCCGTGCTTGTAATGCCATGGAAATATGAAGGTTGTTGCGGTCGTTTGCAAATCCACTGGTTGTTAGTGGTGCTGCCAGTGCTGCTGGTGGTGTTGAAGTAGCTAGGTAGCTAGGTAGGTAGAGATGTCAACTTATACATATGCTGTATGTAGAAGTTATAGGCTAGCCTAGGTGTGTGCTTCTAGTGAGTACAACCCCAACAGATATATGTTCTAGGTTTCTCACACTAGTGATTCATTCTTGCATTCTAACATGGTATCACAGCGATGACAGGACCCGCAGAGGGGTCAGCGAGAGCGACAATAGCAGGCGCGGCAAGCGGCGTGAGCGTGGAGCGGTCGCGGAAGAAACAGGCAGAAGCACCGGAGTCGAGAGTGAAGGACAGCGAGGCAGTAGCAGAGGCCGGGAATGGGGCCAGTGCAGGAACTAGGCTAGTCAAACTAGCCAGTCCTACGCCTGATGCAGCAGGGGAGGCTAAGCTACACAAGGGTGCTATACCGAAACTAGAGTACACAGGGTAATAAGATCCAGCAACACTAGAAGCGTCAGCATACAAGGCATGCAAAGCAGCACCTATCTGATCCATACCTAGCTCAAAGCAGGCTGTGCCAGTCGGGGAGGTCCGGGGCCGGGCCAAAGCGACGATGAAAGAGATCGTCGAGGCGGCGGAAACAGCGGGCGGCGGCACAGAGTGCCGCGGAGAGGCCCGGTCTGAAGCTGGTACTGGCAGGTCACACCAACGGAGCTGCCGGTAGACGCCAAGCTGCGCGGACCGCCACCACGGCCACCACCTACGGAGGTGCCTGGCCAACCCGGCGGGAGACGAGCCCACGGCGGGGGATGGGACAGCTGCTGCGACGACTGCGACTGCTGCGACGGCTGCTGCTGCTGCTGGGGCGACGGCTGCTGCTCCTGACTAGCTGTGACAGTCCCCTCAGTAGAACCACTGTCCCCGGCACCACCACCACTACCACCAGCTCCACCACCACGCCCTCCCTGGCGGCCACGGCCTCCTGACTAGCCGCGTGTGGACCGCAGCTGTAGTCTCGGTCAGAGGGGCCACAGTGGCGACCGCAGCCGAAACGTCAGTAAACGTGCACTGGGAGGGGGCACAGCCGTGAAAGATAGAGACTGCCGGTGCACCGCTCGACTGAGCGATAGTGCGCTGGCGAGTCTCGATCTCGGTCAGGGCGGTGACAAAGGCTGTCAGGGTGAGATCACCAGGGTGCTGGCTAAGGATGTGGTCGCGTGCACTAGCAAGGCGGTCAGGCAGGCGCATAGCGATAAAGTAGAGGGTCATGCAGAAGGGGGGGGGGAGCGCAGTAAGCTGGGCAGCAGTGCTAGCAGTGCGGTAGCGAGACTCTAGGGCTCGCAGGTGAGTGGCAAGGTCAGCAACAGTAGGGAAGGAAGCAAGGTCTGGGAAAAGCATAGGGAAGAGCAGGCGGCCTGCAATAGCGGAGGCAAGCGTGGAATAGAGAGCAACAACAGCATCTAAGTAAGCCTTGGCTGTATCAACTGTAGCGAAACGCGAACGCTCAGACACAGGGAGGGCGTGACTGATAGCGACCTGAGCAACTGCATCGCGAGAGTCCCAGACGGCACAGGCAGGTGCAGCAGCAGAGAAAGTCTCACTCTCAGCAGAGGTGGTGTCAGCAGGGAGGGGAGCAGGCTCAAGGGGGGGGGGGAGCAAGCCATCGGCATGGACAACCAAGGAGTGCCCAACCAGGCGCTGACCTGTGAGTTGACGGCGGAGATCGGACAGCCAGGCGGCGAAGTCAACCGCGTGGCCCTCAGCGTCCAGGCGGAGGACGAAGTTAGCCATCGTGCAGGGTCAGCGACACAGGAACACAATGGCACAGCTCCACAGGACACAGCGGCACAGGGACACAGCAGCACAGCTCCAGGAGGACGTCTGCAAGACGCTCCAGCGCGGGCAAACAGAAGACACGGGGCCGGAGACTCGAGGAACCGTGCCGAGCAGAATTCACGGGGCCGCAGGAGCCGGGCGTGCAATGGGAGCTGCGGGCCGCAAGAGCCGGGCAGGCGTATCGGGGCTGAGCTGGCGCTAGGAGGGGCCGGGCAGGTGCTAGGAGGGGACGGGCGGGTGCTAGGAGGGGCCGGGCTGGCGCTAGGAGGGGCCAGGCAGGTGCTAGGAGGGGTCGGGCGGGCGCTAGGACGGGCCGGGCGGGCGCTAGGAGGGGCCGGGCGGGCGCTAGGAGGGGCCGGAGGCATTCTCATTGGGCACACAGACGCTTCTTGGGCAGTCGACTCTGAGACTCTCAGGTCGTCTCAGGGCTACTGTTTTAGCCTTGGTTCGGGTGCTATCTCTTGGAGATCCACTCGCTCGTCGTCTGTTGCTTAGTCCAGCTGTGAGGCTGAGATCTACGCCAGTGCCATGGCGGCACAGGAGCTCCGCTGGCTTACCTTCTTGCTCACAGACTTAGGTGAGCGGCCTAGCTCTGCCTCGGTCCTGTACGCTGACAACAGGGCCATGATTCTCCTGTGCCAGGAGCCTCGGCTTGAGGGCAGAGCGAATCATATCCAGCTGCGGTAATTCCTCCTGCGCGAGCTACAGCAGCGTCGCCAGGCCCGCGTAGTTCACTTGGCCTCCGGTGCCAACACATCTGATATCTTTACTAAGGCGCTTGCGCCTAAAGATCATCAGCGGCACTGTGTACAGCTTGGTCTTGTTATTGTAGCTACTCACTTGTTGGGACCATGATTGTGTACTCTCTATGATATATACCTGTCTGACTGGCCTTGAAGCCTTGCCTCCAGTGGCTGGACTAGTAGTGCCGCCCTGGTTTGCTTTAGTCTTGTTTGTACTCTTGCTGACTGGTCTTCGGACCCCTGTCTCAGTGGTTGGACTAGTAGTGCCACCCTGAGCTGTGTGCTTCTTGCTTAGCACCACCCCTTCTCTAGACTAGAGGGTGTGTCAACTTATACATATGCTGTATGTAGAAGTTATAGGCTAGCGTAGGTGTGTGCTTCTAGTGAGTACAACCCCAACAAGTATATGTTCTAGGTTTCTCACACTAGTAATTCATTCTTGCATTCTAACAAGAGAAGCCATGGAAGTGGCGTGAGGGTTTAGGCTAGGAGAAAATGTCGAGAGAAAAGAGTATGGGATTAGAAGAGAGAGGGATACAAGGAGGGAGTTGTACCCTCTACAGTAGGTTCCAGTAACACCTACCAAGCCTACAATTATATACATATAATATGTAATTTAACAAACCCCCTAGGCTTGGTAGCCGAAAGCACATCACACATGCAGCACCCCCAAAACCCTTGCACCCCCATGCCCTGGAGCAGTGATGGCTTCATTAGCAGTGGTCGACCTCACGACGTGCGAGGCGGCGACGTCAGCAGCGAGGGCAGTGGCTGCAATGGTGGCAGCGACGACAGCGGCGGCGGCGTGCGGCGGCGAGGCCAGCGGCACCAGCTGCGGCGGCGGCTGCGGAGCACGCAGCACTCGGCGGCGTGGCCTGACTCCGCGACGGTGGGAGGGGCCGCGCGAGTCAGCCGTCAGCTGCGGCGAGGAAGAGGGGACGCAGGGGAAGGAGGCGGGGCTTCAGCAGCGGAGCCAGGGAGCATGCCGCCCCATGTGCGCTGGCTGCATGCAGGCGTGCTGGCCAGCGCTAAGGCCGGGCGCTGGCCGCTGCCATCCGTGCCGTCCGTGCGCTGGCGCGTCGACGCCACCACGGCAGGACGACGACGCCGTCACGGCAGCACGACATGGCCGTGGCGGCGGCGCGGAAAGGACAGGAGGGAGAGGGAGGGGCGAACGTTGCGGAAACGTGATGCGAAGGCCCGAGCAGAAGGACCCGCTCTGATGCCATGTTGAAGTAGCTAGGTAGCTAGGTAGGTAGAGAAGCCATGGAAGTGGCGTGAGGGTTTAGGCTAGGATAAAATGTCGAGAGAAAGAGTATGAGATTAGAAGAGAGAGGGATACAAGGAGGGAGTTGTACCCTCTACAGTAGGTTCCAATAACACCTACCAAGCCTACAAGTATATATATATATAAATAATATATAATTGAATAGGTGGTTCAGGGGAGGATGGAGTACGTGGGTTGAAAGAACAGCTGCATGGCTCTTGGGGTGTGCTGTTCAGTGCTTGTAGTGCGATGAAGATATCCAGTGTATCATTGTTTTCCTTCTCGAGGGTATTGGTGTTGCCTCAAAACCGCATACTGTAACAGTGACCTGTACTGTAAATGGGAGTTCGTGTGAGCAGAGTGACTACATGCGTTATCGCCCCCATAACAGTGACGTGTCGCATAAATTCCTTTTTGATCATTTCCTGAGCGACATTGCCGCAAAGACACCTGACCTGACCTGACGCGGAAAAAATTGTCCTATTGGGTTAAAGCCCGACGGCAAAAGAGCAGAGGGGTTATCAAGTTGGGACCCCTCATGATCAGCACCCCTTGTGTGCCGAGGTGCGTTTTTTAATTCGGAGTTGGGCAGCAGCCCACAGTGTTCGATACTCAGGTGGCATATTTGACGCGACAATGTACCGTGTGAATTTCGTTTCGCGTCGCACGTTGTGGGCTGCACGACGTGGCACACGATTTTGCCACGTCAAAACGGGCCCCACTTGGTCATCAAGTGGGGCCCCACTTGATTTTCGCCCAGCGAACGCATGAAAAATAGGAATAGCAGAGGGGGGTCCCTCTTGAATCCCCCTGCAGAAAAAGCCGAGGCCAACGTGGCATGCGACAAATGTCGCAGGGGGGCTGCACGACGTGCCATGCTGTCAATATTCTTTTGCCTCGAGCCTGCATTGGCTAGTACTCTCGGGCAACCGATAGGATTTGTGAAATCCTCTTCTGTTTCCCAACAGTTACAAATTTCGGGGCACTGGGACGTTTCGTTTTTTCGCGAGGTTTCAGGACTTCGTTTTTTTGCACCCACTCAACTATCAAGAGGGACCCCCCTCTGCTATTTTGCCATCGGGTTTTAAATTCACTCTCTAGAGTTCAACATGACGCAGTGGAAATCGGTTGGAAATGTCCAAGTATATTTTTAAATATATCGTTGTGTAGGCTTGGTAGTTGTGCTACTTACTGAATCCTACTGTAGAGGGGACAACCCCCCCTTCTTGTATCTCCTTCTCCTCTAGTCCATCTCTCTTTTCTCTCGTCAACTTTCTCCTACCCTAGCTTAAACCTCTCTCTAGTTCTATGCCTAGCTCCTAGCTATCTCAACATGGTATTAGATCAAGTTC